AGGCGCATGCAGCAGGCATCAGAGAGCACGAGCGGCAGGTGAGGACGTTGACGACCATGATCCGTCGTTAGTCTTGAGTAATTTTCTTTCGGAGGGGGATCACCTTAAGCTGAGTCTGTATGTAACACGGAATGCGAACCCGGGTACCCATAACACCACAGCGGCATCAGAGGTGACGGCCGTTGTGATCGACACAAACGCGGCTGACCATCGGTATACAGCGACGGACAGAATGTAACTGCCACGAATGGTTTGAGGTTTTAATACTAGAAAAGACCTGTCCACGTCGGCACATGATAGATCGGGCATTTACAATATTCAGCACTGATTGTATAAAACATTTACCAGCAAGATTTGCATAAATAATTGATCCTACCATTTGTAAGAATATGTTTGATTGCGTTGAATTAAGATACCTGATTTGCTAAAACCCTATGTATAGGCTGTTCTTTTATGCACGTGTGCAAGCTCCTCCCATCCTTGTTTATTGCTCTTTTTTGGCACTGACAGTTAATTTGGCGGCTGTTACAATCTGTCCGTCGCTGTACTATCCTACACACAACAGGAGGAGGTTTCAAGCGCATCTTTGAGACGAGCTTTACCTACGAACCGCTGCAGTACCCTCTACTCTTTCCGTACGGGGAGAATGGATGGACTTACGATATCCCGTACGTTGGTAATCCCGTCGATCGTCATAATGACCCCTTAACCATGTCCGTTCGGGAATATGAGGCGTATCTGCTTTACGACCGGACGATTAGCAGCTCTCTCATCCTGCGCTGTGGGCGACTGACTCAGCAATACTGCGTTGACCAATGGGCCAAATGCGAACAAGAGCGCCTGCGCTTCATCAAGAAAAATCAACTTTAGTATCGATTGGAAACCCTTCAGGGACGCACAACGCGTTGCGTGGCGAGTCTGTTGAAATCCACAGGATGGCGGCTGACGACGAGGCGGCCATACGTAGACCTCGGCGTGGGAATAATACGGAGCAGGAGTCGGCGGAGCCAGATGCGGGTGAGATTGGACGCAAGATAATCATACCTCCAAAGTTTACAGGTGGTACCCGCTATAGGTACCAACGCTTCTTGGATGCCATGGCTATCGTTCGTGAAACAGGCGCACCGAACCTGTTCATTACGATGACATGCAACCCGAACTCCCCTGAGATCAAGAAAAGCTTACGCCGTGGAGAGAAGGCATCCGGCCGACCGGACATTGCGACCCGCGTGTTCATGGAGAAACTAAAAGCTCTTAGCAAGGATCTCAATGAGGGCGTGCTGGGGATTCAAGCCACTCGAGTCCATGTAGTGGAATATTAGAAGCGTGATCTTCCCCACGCCCACATACTGCTTATCCTGCGTCCGGAGGACAAGCCACTCTCAAGGAAGACGTCGAAAAGCTGGTGTCCGCGGAGCTCCTGGATAAAGAAAAATACCACGAGCTCTATGATACGGTGATTTCCAATATGCTGCATGGAAACCCTGTAGTCAACAGAACCCGAACCGCCCGTGTATGAAGAACGTAAGGTGTTCCAAGAAGTTTTCAAAGGCGCTCGCGGACGAAACGGTGATGACCCCCGACAAATACCCCAGATACAAGCGTAGTCGCCGTCCGGATGGAATTTTGTGCCATAAGGGGAAAGTATGGGACAACGCGACCATCAATTAATGGGTAGTCCCGTACAATCCGTTCCTGTCGCAGAAGTACAACTGCCACATCAACGTCGAGGTTTGTACAACGAACAAGACCATCATATACATTTACAAGTACGTCTACAAGGGCTCAGACATGACGACAATCACGATTGAAGGCGAGGAGATTGGGCGAACGAAATTCTTCAGTATCTTCTGGGGATGTATATTTCTCCGGTAAAAGCTTGCATGCGGCTATCATGCATCCAACACAAGGATCAACACATTCTGTTGTATCGTTACCTATCCATTTGTAAGGAATGGGGATGGATGTTTGTCGCGACCAAGCGACGACCCCCCAGCTCCACAACTTGATTAATCGCGGGGACAGATCCATACAGACGGCGCTTTTCAAGCTGTGCGCGCGTAGCCCAGAAGCTATGACCAATCTACTGTACAAGGATGTACCGCGGAAGTATAGGTGGACGCAACACAAGACGTGGGAGTCGTAAAAGAAGTACGTTGCTTCTCTGGGCCGCTTGAGACACGTTTCTCTGCAGGACCTGATATACTTCTACTTGCGACTTTTCCTGTGTAACTGAAGCTCGCCCAAGCCCTTGGTACTGAGCATCCTACATATCAGCAAGCAGCTTTGGCGCTTGGGTTATTTTGGAAAATGACGACGAGTGGATAGATTGCTTACGCGAAGCCGCCGAGGTCAAGATGCCATACCAGATACGCCAACACTTCGGCATCATTTTGGTTTACTGATGTTTGGTAATGCCAAAGATCAGGACAGATTCAGGAAGGATACAGAGGATTACGCACGAAGCATTGGGGAAAAAGACGCGGACCCGCATAATGTACGCGAGGAGGAGGCACGTCTTCGAATGGCGGGGTACAGGGCGTTGAAGAATCTGGCTGATTACTTGGCTTCGAACCAAAAGTCCCTCGACACGTACGACCTTCCTCTGTTAGCCGATTACAACGATGTATATGCTCAAGTAGACGACGAGGTTATAGCGTCTGTAGATGTTATCCAGCAAGATATTGACGCGTACCTTTAAAACGAACTGGAGCATGTTGATGAGCAGGCGGACCACTTGAACAGCAACCATAGGGATATTTTTGACCAAGTTATCGCTGCTGTGAGCAGACCGGTTGAAGGGGAGAAGCTATTCTTTTTGGATGGTCCGGGTGTAACAGGAAAGTCGTTTCTACTCGAGCAAATACTCGCTTACGTTCGGATGCAACGTAAGGTTGTATTCACGGTTGCATCGAGTGGGATTGCAGCCACTCAGCTAACTGGAGGCCATACCGCTCATTCGACGTTTCGGATTCCCCTCAACCTTACAGAGACGTCGACGTGCAGCCTTTCATGGCAGAGCCAAAAGGCCGAATTGATTCGTAGCGCGAGTTGGATCATTTGGGATGAAGCGCCGATGATGAATGAGCTTGCTTTGAGGCTGTTGACAGGTCGCTTCGGGATATTATGAAGAGCGAGCTGGAGCCGTTCGGCGGAAAGGTAATGGTGCTCAGCGGGGCTCACCGCCTAATTCTACGTGTACTGAAGGATGCTACGCGTGCGGAGACAATTCAAGCTTGCTTCAAGTCTTCGCCGCTATGGGCGCATTTGCATCAAGTGCGGCTGTCTGAGAACATGCGTGTCCGCACCGCCCCAGACGCGACCCGTGCGGCTGAGTTAGCAGAATTCTCTGAATTCTTACTTCAATGTTTTGGGGAAGGCCGTTATCCAGTCAACCACGATATCGGTGATGGCGACATATGCTTTCCACGCGACATGTGTATCATTCCAGAGCGAGGGTACAACAAATGACCTCTGATGAAGAAGATGTGGATATAGAACTCCCCCCCCCAACTTTCAGGTTACTCTCTCCGATGGACGAGGAACACGAGTTTCTGCTTTTCACTTCCTGTTCGCATGGCTACTCTCGGCCTTTTTAATACAGTTTCCTCCTATCCTGTCGCTTGCACCTAACTTTCTAACTCGACCCAACTATGCCAAAATTACAAAAATGGCAAAAACGTCACACAATTAACTCGCGCCCTGATTGGTCAATATTGGTCGACCTGCGACACTGACTGGATCAGGCGGAGGAGCAGACCTAAACACTAATACAGTGACTGTACACACGCAAGTGTATGAATAATTCACCGATGGGGGGTGGGGCATAGATGCACCAAATAGTGGCGGATTGCACGCACCATCTGTATGGCAGTGTATCGCTTTAGACACGAACACATGCAAGATGTGAAGGAGCTTTACACCAACACAAGCGATAAAAAACACTACGTTCACTGAGAATGCTCAGTGTCATACAATTGCAACTACACTGGCAATGGCACTTACACTGTACGATCCCTATATGTGTTGTTGTAACTTAGAACGGAAAGAACGTCGCTTTTTTCAACCGCTGAAGAACAACTTTTGCGCATTTAATGCTCATGTATTGTAGGGAAGCATTGTCCACGTGTGAACCGCGCTGGTTTTAAAGGCTCAACTGCCGATGGCAATTCGAACCGAATTTTGGGTGAAGCTAATCGAACCGAGTTGCCATCGACAGTTAAACCTTTAGCTGGCCTTGGCTGCATCATGGTCGTCGCTGCAGCCGACGATGACTACAAGATGAGGAACGGCGTGGAGGCATGGTCCGTCTTTCTTTGTCGTCAACGACTTAGATCTTACTGCAGATCCAATCATACTCTATAATAACCCCACTGAGACGTATCAAGTCTACCATTTGCCCGATCTACTGCAAACCAAACGAGCGACAAATGTGACTATCACGACCCGGATGATACTATACAAACATGCATAATAATAGGAAGGTTTAAATATAGTAAGAGAGGAGATCGATGTGTTGGACAGGATATTGAAACTATTATAACACTTCCTCGGTCGAGGCTGCAGCCACCACCTCCTTCTCGGCCGTCACTTCCTCTGCCGGCGTGGCATTCACCACGTCCTCCTCGCTCACAGCCGAGACGACGGTCACGCTGATGTCCTTGAGTAGTCTGGAGTCGATCACCGAGATGTTCTTCTTGAACTTAAGCATCTTCACAATCCACTGCTCCGACGGGTGTACAGCGTCAGCCAACTTAGCCTTATTGCCGCCGTCCTTGCATTTGGAAGCCGGGCCGTTCTGACGAGCTATCTTCTTTTGAATCTCCTTGAGTGCAGGAATACGCTCCAGCGTGTTTTCGTCTTAGTTGATCTCCTTATCCTTGACCTTGAGGTTCTCGATTTTTTTACGCTCCTTGCGGTTAAGTCTAGTCACTTCTCCATTCACTTAATATCGCGTTCAATAACAATCTTGAGCCAGTCGAATACGTCCCGCACCTCCTTCATCTCCTGGGCCACCTTGAAGCGCTGAACGAACTCGGCACACGCCTTGCGGTCGTAGTCGTTGCGGCTCTTGATGAGCTTTTCGTCAGTTTCTAGCTCAGCCTCAGGCGGCAGAATGGATTTCAAACGCTTGGAGCAGCGAATATTGATCTTATCCAGCTCCACCGGGCACTTCAAGTGCTCAGCGTGCATTTGCTTGTAGCTGTCGATTTGGCGCGAGCACGCTGCTCGATCAGATCCGCCTGGGAGCGGTGCACCTGCGACTCCTGGGCCAGCGAGGTCTTCTCAGTGGCGCCCAGAGCGCTCTCCTCGCTCACCATACGCTCCATGAAGGCGTTGATCGAGTCGATCTCGCCCTCCAACCGCGTAGACGCGTGTTGTAGACTCTCGTCCTCCTTCAAAAGACGGTTGATCGGTATTTTGAAGGCCTCGACAAGATGCTGCAACATACTGCGGATCTGCGACGTCATCAACATGTCCTCGTCCTTCTCCTGCGGCTTGGACACGCTGTACACGTCCTCGACTCGGGCCCCGATCTCGCGTTTCTCTACCTTTTCGCTGGCAAACATGCGGCTCACAGTACCATTGATCTGAGGACTTGAGCATCTCCGCGTTGTGCTCGCCGTTGAGGATATGCTGCTTCTGGCGCATGATACGCTCCTCCAGGTCGATGACGCGGTGCGTAAAATGCTGCACCAGCTTCTGCAAGTCGGCAGCGCTCACGGCCTGCTTGAGCAGACGGTTGGTCTCCACCTTCTTGCGGTTCGAGTGCTCGTGCAGCGAGTCCAACACCCAGTTGCCGGCGCAGTTCATGAGCTCCGCGATGAGATGCTTCTTCTCATCAGAGATCATAGTCTCCTCCTGGGCGGCGTTCTTCGCCTCTTCCTCCAAGTTTTTGATGTACTGGTTCATACACTCCAGCAGAGACGTGCGGAGCTTGTTCTCAGTGTCAAGACGGGCGGCCTGGTCGTCCACGGTGCTCGTCGAACCGCTTGCAGTCGGTCTTGCGCCCCTCCGACAGATCAGCGCGCTTGAGCACAAGAATGTGCTGCGGCTTAGTCTGGCGGGCAAGCTGGTCACTAAAGACGCCTGTGCGCTTCTTGTCGCGCGTGATATGGGCGTCGTGCTTATCCAGACGCGCCTTGGTGGTGTTGATGAGCAGAGTCTGCACCACACGCCACTCCTTCAGAAATGGGGCGGTGTAGAAATACGGTGCCGTGTCGAAGGCAACATTGCCGCAGATCCATAGCGTTTACGATAATGGATTTCGCGTGATTTTTTTCGGAGGGGGGGGGCACCTCTATCTGTCATTCAATTTTTTATGCCGTAGCGGTCCATTGCCTTAATGCCAGGCAGCGACGGGAACTGGAAGATGGGGCCGCACACGCTTTCGGGTACTTCTCGGCATGCTGGCGCAAATAACTAAATGTGGTAAGAAACAAGAGCTGCAACTTGCAGTGCAAGTGCATGTATGTATGTAAAGAGAAAAATGATTGGCAGATGTTATGTAGAGAGCAATAGAGTATGATCGGCTCACAACGATCAAAGCGGTGCCTGTTCTTTCGAAAGATAAGGCAGATTAGTCACCTGCGTCTACGCTTGTTTTGAGACCTTGCATCATGTGCTCTACGCGTGGGAGTCCCAGACCGATAGGACCTACCCAGAGTACAAGTGACTGGAGTCTCCAAACGCGGCAAATGAAGGAAAGCTTCTTCGCATTGGTTGGCCGCAGCAACAACAACACCCACGACGTCCCTTATCGGACCAGCACTCGCATTGAGCGGCGCATCGGCTCTGGTATTAGTGCTGTCCTGGCTATTAGCCAACGTCGTTGGACCATACACAGCAAAACCTGATTCCGGTTCTGCTGCGACACCACCTGGATCCTCACCATCTTCAGCTGATCTTCGCACCGATCTTTGCTGGTGAGCTGGACGTTCGAATCGCTGCGACTGCATGGTAATTTTAGGGCAAGAGGGCCCAGCAAACCTCAGCTTTGTTCCAGCAGAAGCTCATGCATGTGCGGTCGGTTGCATCTACGATCCATCCACCGGTCGGCAATTTTCTCCCACATGATCCTAGCGTAGGTTTTGGATTCGTAAGCTCACGCTGACTTAGTAAGTACATCAAATGAATTGTCCTGGAAGAACCAGCAGTCTTCGGAGCCACTCGCACGAGCACTGACTCTTGTACACGGTGTACCACTTCTGCATCCCACACCTTTTTTTGTCAGTCCTTCGGTACGCAGCAAGCAACCTTTTCACACAATTGCTCTATCGACAGAAGTCATCATTGATGATATGCGCAATACGTGATAGATCCAAGGGAACAACGAGTTCGGCAAGGTTTGCACGCTGACTGTCATTTACAAGTTTTAGAGTTTTGTGATATTGCTCTAACAGGTTGTTGGGCATACCCTGTAGGTGTGTGGTAAACTTGCCAACGCGAAATGCGAGCCCCCGTAATCCATTGAGAAATAATGAGGTTTGATACACGCCGAAAACGAGGGCTTAGCTCACTGGCGCCGCGCCAAGACCTCAGAACAAATTCCCACTTTCGAAGATACTGTTGTTCATCGCCTGAAAAATGCAAATCATAAAGATTCCTGAAAATCACCTTTACCGAAATCGAATCCAGCTTTGCATCATGTGCATGTTTAAACACATTCTGTGTTACGTGGAACCAACACATCAAAATGGTAGTTGCAGGTAACTCTGCAGCTCAGGCGTTTTGTTCGGTCTTGTCTGCGTCTATCATGACAAAGTCAGGCGAGAATGGCACCCCAAATTCCTTCAAAATGACACTTTTCAAACCGGAAAAGTATCAAACAATATCCTCTTTCCGCCTTTGAGATGTGCACCAGTACACAATTGGCAAGAAGGCCTCACTGCGATCTGAAAAGCCCAATACAGAGACATGATACTTCTGCTTCACGCAGTTGTGTGTTGTGTCCATGGGCAGTAGCGTAGTTAGAGACGGGTCCTGCCGCACTTCAACATAACGCTCTAAACGCCACTTGCATGTGAAACCAATGCGTAATGGGGTGCCTTGAGACCCCGTGCCGAGAGCAGGCTCCACAATGCCGTCCACAACTTTTTGGTGTCGCACAAAATTAGCAATGCATCTGGGTCTGTTTGCCAAGAAAGCTAACGTTCGCTGCCGTACATGCGCTGACGGCAGATCTCCAGCACGGTGTCCATATTTTCCGGTCGGTTTTTACGCCGCCATTCTTTCTGATAGTTTTGGATCTATGCAAGCTACGGGGTAGGTCCGCCCATACACCCATCCTTAATCTCACGACACAAGAATGCGTACAGTGCCTGCGCTACCATAGACGGAGAGTCACTTCGCTTGACATCTAGATAGGACTTCATTTCGGCTATCAGCTTAGATGCAATGGGGGACGGTGGAGCATCGTCGGCCATCGTCTGATCCCCCTGCTCAAATATATTTTTCCGTCACTTTTTTGCCACTCCAGGATCTTATTGCGACAGGTGCAAGTTTCTGTTGTAGCGTTGCAGCGCTGTGATTTGCATTTAATTACGATATACCGCATTTCATGCCATGTTAGAGGCATCTCATCTTCGTAGCACTGAACATGATCAATTGTAAAGTGGTGTAGCTCACTTGTAGGCCGGGCAAAGCTCGGTAATTCTGCCAGAAAGTCATCAAAAGGGACAGGATCACCATATTTCCACAATTCATGCCGCAGAAGACGTCCTGTACGACCTCATTGATCATTCTCCATTGTATCGATGCTCCAATCTTAGTGCTTTTAATTTTTAAATTACTTAGATGCTGTGAAGCTAGGCCCTTACATATTTTACTAGTAGTGCCTATTTGTGAAGAGAAAAGGTTTTTGCGAAACGACACTTATTTTTGGTGTGGTGTACTGCTCTTTCTTTCGGTGACCCTTTCTGCGTCTGTGGCGCTAGACATCCTATTTTTTGTGTTCGATAAAAAAAGAGTGCTTTGGATGGCTCTCGATCTGGCGCACGAGCAGACCGTCTCTAACTCTCGCGATTGGACGTGGGGTAAACATTGTTGGCGAGCACGAAACGCACCGATTGGATGCAAACAGCAAGGCCAGCTATGCTGACGATTGCGTATTAACATTTAGCTACGCAGAACCTGTCGTATATACTGTAATTCGGGCACAGCAACCACCTCATTTTGAAAGCGCTCTGCAATGGTTACTTTCCACACACTTTTCAAAGTAGAGACGATATTTATTGTAAAACTTTTTTAAAGTAGGCTTCACAGAACCGCGTTTGGTACGAGCTCTGCGATGTTATTTTTCTATACACTTTTCGAAGTAGAGACGATAGTATTAGTACTATTAAAATAGCTTTGTGCTAGCTGTATCCGGGCACCGCACTGCATGCGCGCATGGTACATACGTGGTAGAGGTCAAAATTATTAAGTTATTGCTATTGCTTAAAGTTATGTTTTGCTTGAAAAATTGATAATAGCATTGTTTAAGCGATTGCAAAATTTATAATAAAAATATAAATTTTTGATGATGAGTAGCATCATTAAACGGCCGTGTATTGGCTAATATTTTGACGTGTTTTATGAATTAAAACAATATAATGTTTATGATAAAAAAATACCATTTAAAATGTCGTTTAATAATATACACCCAACAGTAAATATCCGTTAGAATTCCTAATATTTTACGCGCGTTAGTAGTTGTATAAGCTTCTTCACAGATTGCAACATGGCGAGGCCCACGTGCAAGGCCAATATTGACCTGCTACAGCTGAATCTGCAGCGGTCTACGACGGATCCCTAGGCAGTGCTGTGTGAAGCTGCGGTACGATTACGTGTTCCATACAATCAGCGGGTGGGACATCGTGCGGCGCTGTATTGCCTGCGCGAACAGCCCAAAAGCGGTTGAGCTCTGGGAGGAAAAGTCCCCACCACCTGATTCGACCGAAGTGCGCCGCCATAAAAGCCTGGCAATCGTCAAGAAGACGATGTGTCCTGACTGGTACCCCAAGCAGAAAAGGAGGCGCAGCCGCCCTCGCAAGCTGACCGCCCGAACCCTCAATGCCCTTTCGGGCATATTCCTAGTAAGAATTTCTGATCATGTATACCAATATCAAGTGAGCTATAATCCGTTATGGATCTTCTTGCACGCCAAGCGTCGTCTGCACCTTCGCATGAGCATCTTTAACAGCTCGCGCCCTGTCCCAGACGGTGAACATAACTTCAAAGTCGCGGTGTAAAATATCGTGGAGTCTTCCGCGAACCGCCACCGAGGGTTCGTTTTGTAGATGGTCAGTTCTTGGCCGCTGAATGCGAATCCGGCCAGTCCATTATTAATAACCAGGACAGCCTGGATTAAGTGACATCTGGACCGTATCTAGTATCCATTGAGTGTTCGGTAATGACACCGCCGAGTCTCTTGCACTTTGGAGTCACAGCATAAATCGGTGAGGAGATCCCAGATAAGCTTAGCGATAGTAAATACGACGACTGAAGCGTACTGGGATCCAACGACATCGGGTGAATTGAACGACGTGTACTACTTTATCTAGCCGAGAGGTATTCTATACCATATAGCTGATTGCGACGGTCAGCTAGAGTGCTTTTGTCCATCTCCGCATGCATGGTATTGTTTAGCGCCGCTAGTATCTGCCGAGGGTCACGTAATATACCACTTTCTTCTCTATATATATCCCGTTGAGCTCTTCGTAATATCATGATCCTATTGAAGGGCCTGTACGCGATGTTCGCTGACTCGTATCAATTAATCAGATTGCAATTAATAATCAATTCCGTCTAATAACACTCGTATGTTAGATTAAACGCCATTGACTTACTTACCGACTTATTCGCATAGTTAACGATTATTAAAGATGGGTATATCTTTTCCGAGTGGCATTTACTGGCTCCGGTATGTATAG